AGGACCTGGCCCCTCACCTCCTGATATCTCCAGGACATGGCCCCTCATCCCCCAATATGTCCAGGACATGGTCGCTCACCCCCTGATATCTCCAGGACATGGCCCCTCATCCCCCAATATGTCCAGGACATGGTCGCTCACCCCCTGATATCTCCAGGACATGGCCCCTCATCCCCCAATATGTCCAGGACATGGTCGCTCACCCCCTGATATCTCCAGGACATGGCCCCTCATCCCCCAATATGTCCAGGACATGGTCGCTCACCCCCTGATATCTCCAGGACATGGCCCCTCATCCCCCAATATGTCCAGGACATGGTCGCTCACCCCCTGATATCTCCAGGACATGGCCCCTCATCCCCCAATATGTCCAGGACATGGTCGCTCACCCCCTGATATCTCCAGGACATGGCCCCTCATCCCCCAATATGTCCAGGACATGGTCGCTCACCCCCTGATATCTCCAGGACATGGCCCCTCATCCCCCAATATGTCCAGGACATGGTCGCTCACCCCCTGATATCTCCAGGACATGGCCCCTCATCCCCCAATATGTCCAGGACATGGTCGCTCACCCCCTGATATCTCCAGGACATGGCCCCTCATCCCCCAATATGTCCAGGACATGGTCGCTCACCCCCTGATATCTCCAGGACATGGCCCCTCATCCCCCAATATGTCCAGGACATGGTCGCTCACCCCCTGATATCTCCAGGACATGGCCCCTCATCCCCCAATATGTCCAGGACATGGTCGCTCACCCCCTGATATCTCCAGGACATGGCCCCTCATCCCCCAATATGTCCAGGACATGGTCGCTCACCCCCTGATATCTCCAGGACATGGCCCCTCATCCCCCAATATGTCCAGGACATGGTCGCTCACCCCCTGATATCTCCAGGACATGGCCCCTCATCCCCCAATATGTCCAGGACATGGTCGCTCACCCCCTGATATCTCCAGGACATGGCCCCTCATCCCCCAATATGTCCAGGACATGGTCGCTCACCCCCTGATATCTCCAGGACATGGCCCCTCATCCCCCAATATGTCCAGGACATGGTCGCTCACCCCCTGATATCTCCAGGACATGGCCCCTCATCCCCCAATATGTCCAGGACATGGTCGCTCACCCCCTGATATCTCCAGGACATGGCCCCTCATCCCCCAATATGTCCAGGACATGGTCGCTCACCCCCTGATATCTCCAGGACATGGCCCCTCATCCCCCAATATGTCCAGGACATGGTCGCTCACCCCCTGATATCTCCAGGACATGGCCCCTCATCCCCCAATATGTCCAGGACATGGTCGCTCACCCCCTGATATCTCCAGGACATGGCCCCTCATCCCCCAATATGTCCAGGACATGGTCGCTCACCCCCTGATATCTCCAGGACATGGCCCCTCATCCCCCAATATGTCCAGGACATGGTCGCTCACCCCCTGATATCTCCAGGACATGGCCCCTCATCCCCCAATATGTCCAGGACATGGTCGCTCACCCCCTGATATCTCCAGGACATGGCCCCTCATCCCCCAATATGTCCAGGACATGGTCGCTCACCCCCTGATATCTCCAGGACATGGCCCCTCATCCCCCAATATGTCCAGGACATGGTCGCTCACCCCCTGATATCTCCAGGACATGGCCCCTCATCCCCCAATATGTCCAGGACATGGTCGCTCACCCCCTGATATCTCCAGGACATGGCCCCTCATCCCCCAATATGTCCAGGACATGGTCGCTCACCCCCTGATATCTCCAGGACATGGCCCCTCATCCCCCAATATGTCCAGGACATGGTCGCTCACCCCCTGATATCTCCAGGACATGGCCCCTCATCCCCCAATATGTCCAGGACATGGTCGCTCACCCCCTGATATCTCCAGGACATGGCCCCTCATCCCCCAATATGTCCAGGACATGGTCGCTCACCCCCTGATATCTCCAGGACATGGCCCCTCATCCCCCAATATGTCCAGGACATGGTCGCTCACCCCCTGATATCTCCAGGACATGGCCCCTCATCCCCCAATATGTCCAGGACATGGTCGCTCACCCCCTGATATCTCCAGGACATGGCCCCTCATCCCCCAATATGTCCAGGACATGGTCGCTCACCCCCTGATATCTCCAGGACATGGCCCCTCATCCCCCAATATGTCCAGGACATGGTCGCTCACCCCCTGATATCTCCAGGACAAGGCCCCTCACCCCCTGATATCTCCAGGACATGGTCCCCCACCCCCTGATATCTCCTTTCCCCCTAAGACAGATATACTCTGGCTCTTTGACCTTTGGCATTATTTTACTGACCTTGTCATCATCATGATTCTATCCACAGTTTCTGATATTTCAGTCTTAAGAATTGGAAAGCCTGATGGCTGGAGGACAGCCCCACAAAACCGGTTCAACTGCCCTCTGGTACTAACCTGTTTGTTTCCTGCTTCCATTACCCCGAACCATCCCTAGCTGGATTTGAGTTGATATTATTTTCTCATCCCCGACAAAGGGAGAAGACAGGGGGGGGGGTGGTGGTCAGAGTGGAATTTAAGGGGGAAATGTGGGTATTTGTTACGCTACTTACCCCTGAATGCTGTGTCCCCTCCCTGTCCTCAGTGTCATCCATCCACTGGCTTGGACTTCATGAAGGCGGACATCTTTCCTACATTCAGCAGTAATCTGCCCACCTGCTTTAGCATAGTTTCAGCCAATGGAGGAGGAGCTACACCAACGCCATCTTTATTCAGCAGTTCCATGTGTTGAAGAGACAAGTTTCCTGAGCAATGAGTGCTCTGCTCTGCCACGACTGCCGCCCGCTGCTGGACCTGGAGAGATGAATTTAGTGAGTGGCAGACATTTTTTAATTGATCACAATTACATAGCAGGACTATGATTGCACTGACCACCGACATATGACAAGGGCACGTGTGCACTGACCACCGACATATGACAAGGGCACGTGTGCACTGACCACCGACATATGACAAGGGCACGTGTGCACTGACCACCAACATATAACAAGTGCACGTGTGCACTGACCACCAACATATAACAAGGGCACGTGTGCACTGACCACCGACATATGACAAGGGCACGTGTGCACTGACCACCGACATATGACAAGGGCACGTGTGCACTGACCACCAACATATAACAAGGGCACGTGTGCAAATTGGAAGGGCACTGAAGCAAAAATTGGTCCATAGTTTCCACTTCCTGTTCACACTCTGTGACAACCGCGGCGATCCAGAGCACGGAACTTCAGATTCCCCTTCACACGGAGTCTGCCATGACACGCCAGCCGGGCCGGAACCCTAAACTTTCATGGGGCTCCCTCCGGAGTAATCAAATGTAATCCCTCCCTCATAACTGGGCCCGGGGGAATCCTTCAAGGCCGGCGGCTCGGAAAAGGCGGAAGCCAAAATCCGCTGACTGAAGCAAAGATCTTTATCTCTATGGGGAAGAATCATTAAATATGCACAATAGAGATGGGAGGAGCCAGGGGCGTAACTAGAAATCACAGCAAGCATGTCATGTGGCCCCCTCCCCCAATAAAAAAATAACTGCCACTAAATAAGGAGCAGGCAGAAGAATATCCAGAAAACAGTCCGAGGTCGATAAGGCAGGCAGCAAGCCAGGATAGTCGGCAAAACAGGAACGAGTCACAATCCAGAGAGATCAGGAGTATACCGGATACACGGAACACACACAAACTGGAAAGACAAACCAGCAACTAGTGGGCGTTTGAGCTGGGTTTAAATAGGGCCGTGAATCTGTCTATGACGTCACTTCCTGTGCGCCACTTGGCACTGCCGACTGCGCATGCGCGTGTTTGTTCTCAGCTACGCATGCGCATGTTTGTTCTCAGCTGTGCCTGCGCGTGTTCGTTCTCCGCTGCGCATGCGCAGAGCGGGACTTTTGCTGACAGGGGGTGATTCTGATGGGGAGTAAAAGTAGAAGGAAAGTCTAGAAAGTAAATTGTCTTGTACACACTCCCTCGCTAATGTTACCTGCCCCCTCCCCTGCTTATATATTACACACCCCTCCCCTGCTTATATATATAACATAC